GCACCAACTTGCAACACCCCGCAGTCCTCCAACATATTTCATCGTGCATATGGTGTCTTTGTTTGATGCGTTCTGCTTTGGCTCTCTCGGATTATACGGAACTATTGTTGATAGCGAACTGACACATAGGTTTTTTAAGGCACTGTGATGAGACTGCGGGATTGGTTTTTATGCTAGTTTGGGTCACCTATTTGCAACATCGACCTCATATGTAAATTGTATGTTTTAATTCCCTTCTTTACATTCGTACTTTTTCTTTTAGCCTTTCTTGCTTGTTTTTTGAACACGAATGTTGACTAGTCGAACATAACTACAGCTTCAAAGATGAGCGCCGCGTGTGTTCAAGTAAAGAGTGAAACAGACGGAGACATTTACTAAGCTTCAGATTTTTTGAGAAACGTTATTCTGTAATTTCGTAATTCGTAATTGATATTTAAATGAACAACACTCGTCGAGCAAGAACACTGCGAATGCAATGGTTTAAACATAAAGCACATCTTTCCTTCAAAATTAAGTATTGAAAGTGTTTTTTTATTAACTTAAGCACACACAAAAAATGCGACATACACCAGAACTGCTAACAGAAGCAGCACTTATCCAACTTATTATAACATAAAATTCTTGCATAAAAACCTTTCCAGTGGACAAGATTGCTAAATACCAGAAGTTCTACCTTGGTTTCCCGTCAACGGGATGGCTGCATGGAGTTTTTATCTTTCTTCAATGTATAACATAAATACGAGTAGAAGCTAGTTTTTCTTGGAAATTCACCTTAGGCAGATATCCTCAAGGCTTTGTCTTAATCAAAACCTAACAATTAATCTTAAGTACTGAAGATTTTGGTAAACATTGTAATGTTTGTTTAGTGTATTTTAAGGAAAGTGTACATCCAGCACTTAAGGGGACTCATACACCTTAAAACCCATAAGATCTTCGAATAGGTGGCTGTTGCAAGAATTGGGATAACTTATTTATTTTAAAAGCAATTACTACCAACTTTTGACAGCTGACTACGTAATATAGCTGCTTTCTGAAATAGTAATCAGGAAGTTTGTGTTACCACAAATATTTTTATAATTTAATCCGCTTTGTGACAACATTTTTCGTCATGTTTCCAACTTGCGCGCACAGTTTAAAGCATTCTATTTCATAATTTAATTCCATATTTAATATATAGCTTTTATAACATTTGGAAACTATTACAGTGAACCTAAAATTTTCATATTAAATTTTTATTTTATTTTGAGTTGAGTTTATAAATTGTACTTTATTAAAAAAATTTTTTAATGTTTTCGCCCAAAAAATTTTTCAATAGAAAGTTAGAAAATAGTGCCCATACAAAGAATTCCATCAAATTTCAAGTATGTACCATTAGCCATTTTTAAAATATCATGCGCGCAAGGTGGAAACACGGCGAAATATTTTGTCACAAAGAGGATTAAATTACAGAAATATTTGTGGCAACACAAACTTTCTGGTTACTAGATTCCAAAGCAAATATATTATGTAGTCAGCTGTAAAACGTTTGAAGTAATTGCTTTTAAAATAAATAAAATATCCCAATTCTTGCAACAGTCACATATTCGAAGATCATGAGCGGTTTATGGTGTACGAATCCCCTTAAAAAATGACCCTCATAGAAGAAAAGATCTATGTACAGAATTTAGTCCTTCTTCTATTAGTGTTAGTAACCGAACATTATGAGACAATTTAGGTCTCGCACGTTAGAAAATCCAATTTTTTTTCTTTAGAACTTTTCGTATAATTTAAAGCAACTAAAATAAAAATGCACGCAAATAAATTAATTTTGTTGTCTTGTGACTTATCTCACTTGTCTGACAGTAGTATGAGAACAAGCTCATGAAATTCATCGTAGCAAGAAGTGCAAGATTCTCCTGTCGTTGGCAAGAGCCTTGAGCACCATACAGGTGGCAGAACAACTTCGGTCAGTTCAGTCCCCAATTTTGATGGAGAACAACATCCCGGGGGAACGGATCGAAGGGTATCCCACCCCTCTTCCCCTACCATAAGCCACTCGAGAAGGCTTTCGGCTAATAGTATATTTAGGGTTTCTCTATGCCTCACGGACACTATATACATTTACAGACATTCGGGGCTCGAACTCGGTGCCGCAGTAGGCTCCCCTAAGCACTATACCGTCTGACCGGCAAATAAATTAGTAAAATTTGTTCGCACTGGAAAAGAAAACAAACAGGAAAACTGAAGTTTATTCTGTTGTTATTTATGTTCATTTGTCTGACAGCAACATAAAGCCAACCCACAAAATTCCTTGTGGCAAGAAGCGCTTAAGATACGCCTGTCGTTGGCAACAGTCTTGAGCACCTTACAGGTGACAACGGAATTTTGCTCGTTTCGCCCCGAATTTCGATGGATAACAACCCGGGGGGGACGGATTCGAGAGTCTCCCGCCATTCTTCGCTTTCACTAAATCGCACGAGAGAACTTTCGACTCGCCGCATATTTAGAGTGCCGCCATGCTGCACCAACATAATACATTTACAAACATCCTCGCATTCTCCAGGATTCGAACCCCAGCCCTACGGCACTGCAGTAGGCGATGCTAACCACTATACCATTGGGGCGACGGAGTTTATTGTATTATTATCAATATAACAGAAATATTGTCATAATTTTAGATTTACAGCAAAATCGTTAATAAATTTCTTGACATTCAGACAGGAGTTTCTTTATTATTGGATGACCAATATTACAGTTATTTTCGCAAAGTAATGCAAAACAATAAATAATTTTCCTCCCAGAAGAGATGGGACCGCCTTCTAAATAGATTTAATTTATTTAAATCGACACCAATTTAAGTTTCCCCCTTCAATCTGATTTTATATTTTACATTGACATTTTCCTGTTCTTCACAGACTATTTGCATTCCTCAAATGCTTTGGTATGCCCACAGTGGCCGAGCGGCAAAACCTGTTGAACACTGGTATTTCGGTCTGAGGTTGGAGTTCCACCGAGGACTGCGTAGCTGTTTTGCCCGTGTGCAATGTGGGTACTAGCCAGTTACATCCACTGGGCATACCTCCTGTTGTGAAATGAACTGAAGTAATAACCGGCGCGAGGCGCTGCTGTTTGTGACGTCAGCCTGCGTGCTGAGTGTTTTCGAATGTTTTGCGTGTGGACGAACGAAAGCTGATCTCGGAAGAGTGATACTGTTTTGATGGAAATAAAGAATGATTTAAGAATTTTTTTGTCTTTATTCATAATGCACCCAGCCTCGGGTAGAGGCAGGCCCGCAACTGAACGAACTGTTTTAAATATATTTGATTTATATATTTTCTGTGTTCTTCGTAACATAGTGGTACCCTCGGCGGGACCGGGTGCTTTGAATTAGAATTTTCCGATTGAACTTTTGATATTGAATTTCGATTTTGAATATACTTTGAAGATGGATTTGATCGCTTTAAAGGCCCAAAGAAAAGGACTTAGAATTGCGTTTTCGCAAACCTCAAGGAAAACCGAAAGTGAATTAACTAAAGAAGTAAGAGATTTAAAAATACTTTCGATTTTGAAGTGTCAACTTTGTGATAAATTCCAGAGACTTGACATATGCCAGAGTGCTATATTGCAGCAGATTTTGCAGACTGAAGATGGAGAAAAATTATTTAGTGATGATTTTCAAGAAGCGGAGAATTATCCGAGATAAGTTTCTAGAACAGTGTGCTCAAATAGATGCGGAAATACAAGCCTCCTCTCCTTCAAATAATTCCGAATCTAGGAAATTTAAATTGCCTAAAATTGAGCTTAAAAAATTCAGTGGTGAAGCTAAAGATTACCTGACTTTTTGGAGTCAGTTCCAGAAAATCCACGATGACAAAAGTATCGCTGATGAAGATAAAATGCAGTATCTGTTGCAGGCCATGGAACCCAAATCGAAAGGCAGAACGCCTAGTCCTTAGCTTCCCGGCAACGGCAGCTAATTATCCTAAAGCCATCGAACAACTAAGAGAGCGCTTTGGACGCGAAGATTTACTTGTGCAAATCTATGTGAGAGACTTGTTAAGCCTAGTGATGAAGAACGCTGTAACCGGAAGAGCAAAAACTGATCTACCCTCCCTGTATGATGAACTAGAAGGAAAATTGCGAGCGTTGGAAAGTTTGGGGAGAACCCAAGAAAAATATGGGGATTTTTTGACCCTTAGTGGAAGTCACGAAATTTTATCAATTATCTATGTAATCTTTCCACAAGATAACACAGCCACAATCGAAGATATGATTTTTGCCATCCCATGTCTCCTAAAATGCTACTGGTATAGCTGCATTGGCTCTGGCCTTGAATACAGCATGTCATACAATCAGAATTGCTTTCAAATAGTCTCACTGCAAGAACACTACTTCCAGGTAAGTCCTCACACTAAGTGTGAAAACTTTTGAGATTACTACAAGTTCAATAACCGGATTCTCTAAAAAAACACCAAATGTCATGTTGCACAAAATGTGAGCAATTTTCACACTGCCAAAGATATCTGGAGAATACATCACTCCAGACACTTTATCAGACATTCAATATCTGAGTCACTTCCACAGCATCTGCCATTCATGCTGCCAGAGGCATTTACTTTGGACATTACTGGGTGGTCTTAACTACATAAATTACAATATTGAATCAAGTTATCATATATTTTTGTCCATTTATATTTTGTGATTAAAATTAACTTTAAAAAATTTCTATCGCAATAACTTGCAAATATTTTTATTGGGAAATATAATGACAAAAATCCAAGAAATGACTAACCATACACAGAATAATTAAACATATATATATCAATAATTCATTTCTCTTTTTCTTTAAATTCAGAAATTTCAAAAATTTAGAAAATTACTCATTTGAATGATGCGAATATTAATACCATGTTTGATTAAAGGTAAATTAATATTTTTATTCTTTGAAAAGCAAAAACTGCTTTCATAAATAAATTTTACTTTTATAATTATAGAGCATCTTACCAAGAATTGTTACTTACTTTTTCTTTTCCTTCTGTAAATCTATTGAGAATGGCTATTCAACTAACCAAGATGCAGTCTTCCTGGTATGGCAAAATATAATAGCCTGTCCTATTGACACAGTACCATATATGTTACACAAAGCTTGAAATTTCTCTTCTTTATCTCTGCATACTATGTAATACTGATCTATATTATCCAAACTGTCTTCTTCCCTTTTCAGTTTAATTATAATAGGATCAGAAACAATCAATTCTGCAAATTGCATGACTTCTTCAGAATAAGTAGCTGAGAACAGCAGCATCTGACAATCTTTCGGTAGCTGCTTATGGATGCGAATAGACTGGTCTTGATATCCTTGAGTCGAGATCATAACATCTGCTTCATCTAAAACAAATACTTTTATTTTCCTGAGATCAAAAAACTTATAGCGCATTGCCCAATCATAAACTTTACCAGGAGTTCCAATCATAAAATGAGCAGTAATTTTTTCTCCTCTTTGCAAAACCTCACCTCTAACAGCAAAACAAAATTCAATGTTAGGACAAAATTTTGCCATTTGTTTTGCCACTTTTCCTGTCTGCATGGCTAACTCATATGTTGGGGACAAAATAAGCACGTGAGGATATTTCAAATTTGTGTCCACTCTGCTCAAACTTGCCAAAAGAAAAGCAGCAGTTTTAAGCGTACCACTCTGAGACTGAGCAATCATATTTTGTGGAGGATCTGCAATAAGAGTAGGAAGAGCAGTCTCTTGTATTTTTGAGGGTGAATTAAATCCCATACCACACACACCTTTAAGAAGTTCAGGTCGCAGATTCAATTCTTCAAAAGATTTCACAGAATAAAGAGATGAATTAGGATTTCTCTGGATATCTATATCATGAGAAACTTCAATTAAATGAGATCTTACAAGTTTTTTCATCAGAGATATCTCAGCAGGATTTAATTCAGGTTCATCATCTTTTTTTCATCATCATCATCATTTGTCTTTTGATGCTTCATCAGGAATCTTTGGAGGAGGTATTGGAGGTGGCACAGGTGGTGGAATAGGATTGTCCAAATTTAAATTGTCAACTAATTTCGAAATTCCTTTCTCTTGTAAATCAGCAGAAAGACCCCAATCAACATCTGCCATGATAAAGCCTATTGAAAATGTAAATGTCAAAATATAGATTTCTGTAAATTCTAACATATGCAAAGACAAAGACATACTTAGAAAAACTGAAATCATAACAAATATAATGCATGTGTCCCAAATAATTAAAATGTATGAAGATCATAAAAAGCAGTTATTTTACTTATGTCACATTACTTTAAAGTGATAACTCTATTGCTGCACATAAAAAAAAAAAAAAAAAAAAAAAAAAAACTGATTATTATGCCTTTCATTAAATGGTATTCAATTCTATGTCCAAAAACTCATGAATATACAAGTTACCTACTAACTAAATGTAGAAAATGGTTCCCAGTGGAGAAATAGTATCTATTTCAATTTGGAACCATCTTGTTTAGTTACCATCTAGACTTTGGTTTTTAAACAAGACAGACTAAATAATCATATTTTGTGAAGTTTTTACATCATGAATATGTTTGTATCAACAGAGCCAGGTTGAAGAAAGGCCAGCACCTGGGTAATCATGTAACATGTGATCTAATCACTTAGCTATTTATTTTTAGAGGGTGATCCTAAAATTTGCTGTCTTCTCACCTTTATTTTATTGCATGCTCAAATTTAAAAAGAGTGTTTTAGTCTAAGAAATAAATAACTAACTAAAAGCAGTAGATCACATACTATATGATGGAACCTGTACATATACCTCCCCAACCTGGCTTTCTGTCTCAATTTTGAGAGGTGTGGTGGTACAAGAGACTCGCACCCTTCTCCCTCTATCACCAATCTCTTGAAAGGACTTCAGGTTTGCTGTATATTTTCAGTGTCCCTTGCTGCAGACACTATATGCTTACATACATCCATGCTTTCTCCAGGATTTAAAGACAGACCCATCAATATGTATCACTAATCATTACAGTAACTGGACTCAGAGGTCGACAGGTTAAAACAAGGCAAATATTCAAGTAGGCATATTAGATATCACAAAGCCTAACTGCTGATGAAATTCCGAAGGTTGCTAAACCTTCTTCTCCTACCATTAAACTCTCAAAAAGGTGTCAGCTAGCTGCATATTTTGAGTGCCCCCTTGCCAACAAAACACTTACAAACACACATGCCTTCTCTGAGAATTGAACCTGGACTCTCTGGGACAGCAGTCACCATCTCTAACCATTATCCCATCTTTATGTCTACAGCAGGAGTATGAACCAGTCCTTAATTAAAAATTAGAGGAACAAATTAGTTATTTCACAACAATTTTTTTTTAAATTCTAAAGATGACAAAGATTATTATTATTATAATTGACAAAGATTATTTGCCATAGAGATGTATATAGCATGAAGAAGGTAAAATTAAATGTTAAATCACTATCAGAGCACACAATGCAATTTCTCAATATTTCACTAAATGCAACTTTTCAAGTAATCTTCACTTAAATTTTCCCAATAAGGCCTAGTGATCTTTTCTTTCTTCCTTCCATGAGGTTAAAAAACATAAAACATACAGTTGAACTTCTCTCCCATCATCATAAAAAACTGCAGATAGAAACCTACTATTCAAACTAGCACTCGTAAAGCACTTTTCTAGGTGAAGTTAGCATTGTGCTTCATGTTCATAGGTGGTTTTTAGAAAAAAAAAAAAAAAAAAATCTGGATAGTTAATTGCTCCCTTGGATTTCATGAGAGATCCAAATGGTGACCTTGAGAGAGCAGCAGGCACAATAAATCCCTAATGACCATGTCATAAATGAATACATCTTCCAGATTCTGTAAAACAGTTGTTCCAGAATTTAGCTTTGGTAGGGTCACTGGTAAGACTGAATTAATTTAATGACCAGTGACCTATACTGGTGACTCTTCTAAACATAAAAAGTAATAATTACTGTACGAAGTCCAAAATATAGATATCGAAACCCCCAGCAAATTTTTCTTTTCTTTACAAAGGTTTAGAAATGAGAAATATAATACTCAAAGCATGTGTGCTGTTAAAATGATTTTCTCCCTACTAATTAAAAACTCCGCCAGTCGCATTTGATCTGCTAGGCACACATCGAGCACTTTTGTTTGCTCTGCCTCCTTCTCTCCAGCCAATTAGCTTGCCAAAAAGAAATAAAGAAGCTCATTTTTTTAAATGGCTCATTACTGGAGACATGAAGTGGATGCTATGCAATAATGTTACAAAAAAAGATTACAGGATACACTAAATGAACCTCCTTTTGTAGAGGATAGCATCCCAAAAAAGTAATGCTTTGTGTATGGTGGGACAACAAAGAAATTGTGTAACATAAATTATTGCTACCAAGTCAGGCAATATACTTTTTCAAATGATAGTTCTAAAAGCAGAAACCGAAGCTAATTGCTCAGAACTGACCAATAGTCGAGGTGTTATCTTTCACCATGACAATGCTCGGACCTACACTTTAAAGAGTATCAGGCAAAGACCTATTCAGCATGGCTGAGATGTTTTGTGTCATCCTTAATGTTCACCAGACCTTGATCCCCCTCACATTTCCATCTCTTTGAAAGTCTCTGAGAGATTGTCAAGCAGGGCCTCAGTAACTTCTTTATGAAGAACCTAATAACATTTTTATGAAAGAAATTTCTCAGCAGCCAAAAGGAAAGCAAAAAGTCATAGAACAAAATGATACTTATGTAACACCAAATGTGGCGATATGTGTCTGCCACTGGTTTCTGTCACGATTGCGACAAACCCTTTTGAAGTTGAAAACTCTTTTGCTGGAGTGGTTTAATTGCTTGTTGGTTCGTGTCATGCGTGTTTTGAAATGGCCTATGTTGCAATGAGAGATGTGGTTGTAAGAGGGTCTGGGACATTTTAGGCATAAAGTTCGAAATGTACACAAAAAATTTAGATAGTAATGTGCCACCGTGGCGAGAAATTTTTCGCAACATTTGGCGACCTGACGGCGCATATAAGAGTAGTTCCAAATTTTCTTATGTTTTTTTATTGCTTCATTAGTATTTATCATCAAAAACTTTTAAGATGATCCAATAAACGTATATGCTGAAACATTTGCCTAGCACTTACCATCTCCCTATGGAAGGGGAAGCTTTGCGATGAATTTTGAAAGGGTATTTACTACTGCAAGTGCAAACACACATTGTATTTAATGAAAAAAACCCAGACTGTATCACGAAGACAAAAATTTCACATGATGTGAAAAAATACCAAAATCCAGAGAGATTTAGTATGCATTTAGGTAAAATATTGATTTATATAATTTTTATAGAAATGACACAATTAGCAGGAAATAATCACAAATTGGGTATTTTGGGTTTTATTGATGATTTAAGCTTAAAAAAATCAAGAAAGGAGAAGCACACTTAAACAAAGGAGTTTTAACTGAAATGTTTTTTTAAAAGAAAATAAATTCCAAACTTTTTACTTAAAAAAAAAGTTATTTATGATACTTTTCAGTTATGTGCCTGCTATGCATTTTGGCAGGTTTTTTTATGGGTAAATAATTTTAAGTTGTAAGATTAGTTTACATAAGGATGCATACACACATGCTGTATTTTTCCATCTAATTATTTTTCATGTAGCCATAGAATGACCACTATC